AAAAAAAAAAAAAACAATAAAAAAACTTTTAAAAAAAGAGTATTTGTGACTCTTCTAATTCAAAATCTAAAATTACATAAAGTGTCATCTAAATCAATGTTGTAGAATATTTAGTGGCATGAAAAATGTTCGTGACCTACTGGGTAGCAAAAAAACATCTGGAAAATAGTATTACAGTTTGGTTTCAGTTAATACTTAAGTGGAAAAATAGTTTCCTGATATGGTTGCTAAGATATGATTATTTTTATCCAGTGAGATTATAGATATTTTTTATCTCCTTCTTTTTGCCTCTCTTGATTTTTTTTCAGTTTTTCTTTACAGAAAACACGTTTTGTACTTACAGTGAAAAATAAGAAAACCAAATACGCCCAGTGTGTAAGGTAACATGTAGAACTAAATAATTCTACAGCACCAAGAATAGGTTTCCACTGGTTGTTTTGTTACCTTAAATCCTGGCTTTTATAAATCCTCAAAAGGTACCCTTAATATGAGAAAAGATCCCATTCTAGAAAGATTCTTTATGTCTTCTCAAATACTTCTTCAACAGTAAAAGGTAACAACATTCCCTGCTGTTAAAACCACTAGGTAGAGAAATAGGTAGGAAGGTAAACATTTTTTTTTTAAGTCAAATCACAAAAATTTGTAACTGTCAAAAGGATGCAGTCCAAAATAAATCCAGTCAAACTTTGATGACAATTTCACACAGGATATATGGCACCTCAAATCAGTAGGGAAAAGGACAAATGGACCTTACCAAGTGACTGGCCATCTATAAAAAATCATGCCTGCATTTCTTACCTCATGACTTATTTCAAAATAAAGGCCTGATGGTATAGAAAATGTAACCATAAGAGACAAATAACAAAAAGACTAGAAGTGAGTATACTTGTCATCTTGGAAAGGAAAAAGCTTTCCTAAGCCTGACAAAAAAACCTAGAACCCACAATAAAAAAAATCAGACCCCCTGGTTAGATATAGCCATGAAAAATCCATGTGGCAAAACACTGCGTAAAAGTTGAAAGGAAAAAAAAAAAGGCAGAAAAGTTAAAAGAAAAATATTCAAACACAAATGACAAAGAGTTCTTATCTCCAATATGCAAAGGGTTCTTACAAATCAATTAAAAAGGAACAAGCCAACAGAAAAAAAATTTTAAAAAGGACAAGAAACACAGTATGGCTGCTCCCAACGATGCTCTTTCTCAGGAAATACTGACAGTACAGGAGGGACCCCAGCACCCACATCTCAACTACATAACCCTGAAACTCTAACCAAAGCTGACAGAGCATGGTATAAATCCTGGAGTTTGGAATTTTGAGCTACGAACCAAAGAACCAGGAATCTGGGGCGCTAATTCCCCAAAAGAAGGTTCCCAGTCTCTGCTGCTGAGTCTCTCTCCCCGGCCAGGCTTAGTTCTTTTACCTCCTCTGGATTCCAAAAAATAAAAGTTATCCTTCTAATAAATTCCATTTTTGTGTTTGAACTAGTAAATTTTCTCTTACTTTAAGCAAGTCCACTCAGAAAAAATTCAAATCTTCAATAAAAATATAAAATGATGTTCAAGGTCACCAATACATAAAGAAATACAAATTACATAACAGATACCAATTTTTACATGTCCAACTTCCAAAGGCTAAAGGACTAAATAATATCCACTGTTGGAAGAAAAATGTCATTCTCATATACAACTGCTGAGTGCACAAAATACAAATCGTTTGGAAGATAATTTAGCACTATCTATCAAAAATGTAGGTGTATATATCTTGCAAACAGTTAAACTCCTAGAAATCAATTGTATTAAAAAATTACAGGACAGAGCAAAACAGTGATTGTGTCAAGGTAACACCGGTTATGATACAAAATCAGGGAAAACACTAAATGTGAGACTCAAGAGGACCCTAGTGGCCTGGAATCACACTTGAAACACTCCTTCATTTGTCTACAAAGCCATTTATAATCTGGCTCTTGGACTCATCTGCAACCACATTACTCCTTTCCTTATTTTCTTCCAGCCACAGTGACTCCTCATCGTTCCTTGAACACATTAAACACACCCCCATCTCAGGGCCTTGGCACACGCTATTCCCTAGAATGTTCCTTCCCCAGATCTTCACATGGCCTTCCATATCATGTCCTGTAGGTCTCTGCTCAAATGTCTCTCCCCTCGCCTAAAATACACTTCATGTAGAAGCTACGTCCCCAAACAGCGTACTATAAACTCCATGACAACAGGGACATTGTCGTGACCACATCTCTAATCTCGGCACCTGGCACAAAGTTTGGCACACAGTTAAGAACTCAATAAATATCTGATAATTTGAAAAAATCATGGCATATCCATCTAATGGAATGGTATATGGCCATTAAATGAAATACCTCATCCAAAATATTAAGTCAACACGCTAAAGTAACAGAATAGTGACATAGTTTACCTTATGTTTAGCTTAAAAGAAAAAGTACAGTTGGCCCTTGAACAATGTAGGGGTTAGAGACACTGACGCCCCACACAGTCAAAAATCCACATATAACTTCTGACTGCCCGAAAACTTAATACCCTACTGTTGACTGGAAGCCTTATCAATAACATCAACAGTCAATTAAAACATATTTTATATGTATCATATACGGTGTTTTTACAATTAAATAAGCTAGAGAAAAGAAAATGTTATGAAGACTGTCATAAGGAACAGAAAACAAATTTACAGCACTGCACTGTATTTACCAAAAAAAATCCATGTAGAAGTAGACCCACATGGTTCAAACCCATGTTGTTCAAGGGTTAACTAAATATAAATTTACATATGTGAGTGTATATGCAGAGAAAAGGTCTGGATAGATATTCACCAATCCATTACCTTCCCAGGAGTTAACCTTGACATGCGAGACTTTCATTTTCAGCTTTATATAAAACCATATTCAAATTTTGGGGTGCCTGGATGGCTTGGTGGAACATCTGACTTTGGCTCAGGTCATCATCTCACGGTTCACGGGTTCGAGCCCCACATCAGGCTTTGCGCTGACAGAGTGGAGCCTGCTTCTGCTTCTCTGTCTCCCTCTCTCTCTGCCCCTCCCCCGCTTATGCATGCTCTCTCTCAAAATAGAATAAATGTTTAAAAAAATTTTTTTAACTATACAAATTCTGGTGCATTTTAAAATAACTAACCAATATTACTATTTTAATCTAAAAAAATTACCAACAAAACCCTTCATAATCCAGCCCCTACCTATCTCTTTAGCCACTGCCTTACACACATGTGCTGTTAGCTCAGGCTTCCCTCTCCCATGAATCCACACACTAAGTTCCAATTCAAATGCCATTCCAGCACTGTCTGCTCTCTGACACTGCACATCAGGGTCATTGAGTCTCACACAAAACCCAAGGGCAGACTTTGGAGGGTCTGTGAATCTCCTGAGATTTTATGCAAAACATGCGTGTGTGAGTGTATACGAATTTTTCTCAGGAGAGTATACTTAAATTTAATTAGATTCTCAAAGGAAACATGACCCATAAAAGGATGGAGAACCAAAGCTCCAGCCGGCGCTATCCCTCTGTTCTCCGTTGTACATCTACACTCCATACATACTTCTATTATTACAATACATGGAGTTTTGTAAGTATTTATGTGTTGGTCTCTTCTCTTAGGCAACGAGTTTCTTTTACCATATGCTTGCTTCCCACCCCTGTAGACAACAAAATAGTTGTTTCCACATTGTCCCATCTATCTGATGTCGCTACTAACAAGCATGGAGGCAAAAGCAGAAGTCCATACCTCTGTTGGATGCAAGAATAACTCTCATCCAGTAGAAAGGATCTGCAGAATCTGATGACATGATTCCAAATAGTGGTATCTATAATATTACATAAAACAGTTTCTAAAAATGAATTATGTCAATTAAGTTGGAACTTAATTCATAGTTCAATTACTTAATATTTGCTATACTTAAAAAAAAAACCGTTACTTCCCATGTTCTGTAACAAAACAAGTGTACCTAAAGGCAAAGTTTTTTTAACAAAAATAAAAAAAACAGAAATCACTACTTATAGCAATCTACTAGTAAAAATACCTAGCAGGATGAAGATTTGTTGCCAAACAACGTAAATGCACTTAACACTACTCAACTGTACACTTAAAAATAGTTAAGACGGTGGGGGCGCTTGGGTGGCTCAGTCGGCTAAACGTCCAACTTCAGCTCAGGTCATGATCTTGTGGTTCACAAGTTCAAGACCCACCATCAGGCTCTGGGCTGTCAGGGCACAGCCCACTCCGGATCCTTTGTCCCCTTCTCTCTGCCCCTCCCCTGCTCGCACGCTGTCTCAAGAGTAAATAAATAAAGCATTTAAAAAAATAGTTAAGATGGTAAATTTTATGTTATGTGTGTTTTACAATTAAAAAAAATATATACCCCTACCAGGGCACCTGGGTGGCTCACTCAGTTAAGCGTCCAACTCTTGATTTCAGCTCAGGTCATGAGCTCACAGTAGTGAGATCAAGCCCCACATCGGGCTCTGTGATGACAGCACAGAGCCTGCTTGGGATTCTCTCTGCCCCTCTTCTGCTCATTTTCTCTCTCTCTCTCTCTCTCTCTGCCTCTCTCTCTCTCAAAATAAATAAAGAAACATTTCCAGACACATGGGTGGCTCAGTCATGATCCTGAGCCTCGGCTCAGGTCACGATCTCGTGGTTCGTGAATTTGAGCCCCGCACTGGTCTCTGTGCTGACAGCATGGAGCCTGGAGCCTGCTTCAGATTCTTTGTCTCCCTCTCTCTCTGGCCCTTCCCCTCTCCCTCTCTGTCTCTCTCTCAAAAATAAATAAACATTAAAAAAAATTTTTTAATAATAAATAAACATTTAAAAAAAATACCACAACCTATAAATTATAGGATATATCTACCTAGTCATAAAATAATTTTGCTAAGCTATGGGTACTAAGAACACCCACAGTCACACTCCCAATGTAAGACTGAGGATTATATATACAGTGGAATATTATTCAGCCACTGAAACTTATACGTAAAGCAGCTTATAATAGCATACAGAAGTGCTTATTTTGCAACAGTAAGTATGACACTGTTGTTATCAACCTGGGGCAATTTTACCTCCCAGGGGACATTTGGCACTATCTGAAGACAACTGTTACAACTTGAAGGGAGATGCTACTGGCATCTAGTGGGGTCAGGGGTGCTGAACATCCTGCAGTGCCCCCACAACGAAGAACTGACTGCCTAAAATTCAGCGCCATTGCTGAGAAACCCTGGGATAAAAAGAAAGGTGCAGAATTGTATGAATAAAAGTTCAACACTAGAAAATATGTTCAGAAGATAAAACTAAGTGTAAATATTTACAATCTTGAAGAATACTAATCTGTAGGGGTAGGATTATGGTTGACTTTACTCTTTTCAGCATTGGTCAAGTTTTCTATAGTGAGCGAGTCTTAATTTTTAATCAGAAAACAAAATAAATTCTTAACTTCAGAACGTTTTGTATTATATGACCAATGTTTAGGACACAGCACCAGGCCATACCCCTCCCCTCCCCATGTGGAGATCAGACACAAAAGAAAAATACATTTCCAATCTCAAAAACCTTCTTTATAATAAAGCTGCTTTTCTTTTTTAAGTTCCAAAAGATGCTGCCAACAATGGTGAATGACCCATCTGGTCAACCTAAACCTCTCTAGATGTCTGCATTTATTAGCTGGGTAAGCAAAACTGGTGAAGCAAGAAGCATGGATATTTTACGCGTACCCTAATGCTGCAGATGGTCTTCAGAAACAGGGAGGAAGGAAGTTATTGTATTAAAACTAACACTATAGGGGCGCCTGGGTGGCGCAGTTGGTTAAGCGTCCGACTTCAGCCAGGTCACGATCTCGCGGTCCGTGAGTTCGAGCCCCGCGTCAGGCTCTAGGCTGATAGCTCAGAGCCTGGAGCCTGCTTCCGATTCTGTGTCTCCCTCTCTCTCTGCCCCTCCCCCGTTCATGCTCTGTCTCTCTCTGTCCCAAAAATAAATAAACGTTGAAAAAAAAAATTAAAAAAAAAACAACTAACACTATAAGGACAGTCTACATCACAACATTCCCTAAGGGGAAAGAGGTCAATCAGTCAAATTACTTTCCTTAACTGCACCTGATGGAGATGGCCATTTCCTCCACAATTGGACAATTTGTGGGACACTGAACAAGAAAAAGTGAGCCAAACTCCCCTAAGTAAGGGCATTCCCTCCTTTCCTGTAGTCAACAAGATTATTAAACTCAGTGTCTAATTTTATTCCTCTTAGTAAAATCCATAGCTATAGGTTTACGTACAACAGTATTTGGGCAGCAACAGGAGCTATTTTCTGTGACCGTCACAGTTGCAAAGTTCCGGATTTTGCCCTAAATTACATACAATAATCAGTTTCAACTTGACAAGATACAGTACAGTACTTCAGAGAAGTGTTCTATATTTTAATGAAAACCCTCAACCAATAAGGTAGACAAAAGAAAATTAGCAGTAGGGATTTCCAAAGGCAGTGGGAATGGAAAGCCAAGCAAAATACTTCTGGGCTAAGGTGGTGAGCTGCAATTCAGTTACACAATATCCTCCCCAGTGCATAAGAAAACACGATTTTTTAAAAAGTGTAAAATAGTAAAAGGTAATACAACTGAAAAAAGCTAAGGAAAAAGAAAAAGGAAAAAAAAAAATCTGTCAAACAGCCAAAGAAGAAAAGAATCGTAAACTTGAAGCACTAGTGGTCACGGGCACGAGAAAACCATAGACAACTGAGAAGTAGAGACTCAGCACCAAGGCGGCTCCAACCATCACAATGGAAGGCAAAAGATTCCTCACAATTCCCACAACATTCCAAACCTGGAGAACAGCAATCTGCACGGACAGCCTTATCTTTTTTGCCTCCTTTGGTTAGAAGGGAGTAGAAACAGCAGCTGGGAAGAAACGGATGAGAGAAGTGAGCGGTGGGGCTCTCTGCTGGTCCAATTGACAATTACAGGGCTGCCCTGAGTTGGGAAACAGGGACCTGATCTGAGGTTAGGAAGGAACAGAGCCCTCCTCAGTCGCGTGGTGAGAACCACCCAGGAGAAGAGAGAAAGCAGAGTGCGGGGAGCATTCGCTGCGCTTCTCACGGCTCATCACCCCTCCCGCCATTCCCTCAGGTCAAAGAACAATGGGTAGAACAGGAGACTCCAAGCCCTTTAACTGTGGCTGGGAGGGGAAAATAAACCTGAGATTCAGTGGTAAAAGAATCAAGAAATCACCAGCAGAACTGCCCAAGCATGAGAAAGACAAAAAACACAGCTTGGCAACTGTGCAATCATACTGTAGGGAAAAAAATAAATAATACAGTAATATAAAATGCATAAATTAATTTACTGCATGAAACAGTCGTGAGAAATGCCACAGTTTTTGAGCAACACAGTTCTTATGGTTCTTGGGTTCTAGCTGTCAAGCTTAAAATATTTACTACCTAGCCCTTTACAGAACGTTTGCTGACTCTTGGATTAGAAGATTCAATACTGTCGACACGGTAATTTTCTCTAAACTTATCTATAAAGTCAAAGCAATAAAACCATAATCTCAGCAAGCTTTCGTATAACAACGGACAAAGCTGACTCTAAAATCTACATAGAAATATGAAGAACCTACTTAAGCCAAAAACCATTTTGAAAAGGAAAAACAAAGTTGGAGGATTTTTATGACCTGATTACAGGACTTAATATAAAGCTACAGTAATCAGTGTGGTTGACCATAACAATCATGGAATATACATCAGTGGAACGGAACAGAGTACAGAAATATATCCATGCTTATATGGCTAACTGATTTTCAACAAAGATGCCAAGGTAATTCAATGAAGAATGGGCAGCCTTTCAACAACTTACTATCTATACAGAAAAAAAATGAATACCAACCTTACCTTATGCCATAACACAAAAATTAACTTGGAATACATCACAGACCAAAGCATACAAGCTAAAACTGTAAAATATTTAGAAGAACACAGGAGAAAATTTTCACTACCTTACAAGAGGCAAAAATTTCTCAGGAAACAAACACCATGGGCCATCAAAGGACTTGATCAAAACTTAGGATGTTTGCTCTTCAAAAGATTTAAGAAAATGAAGAGCCAAGCTATAGACTAGGAGAAAATATTCACAGTACATACATCTGAGAAAGGACTTAATCCAGAAAATATTTTACAATGCATACAATTCAATGGACAATAATGTAATTATTTTCAATGGGCACAAGATTTGAAAAAGATATTTCACAGAAGCTAAACACCTGATAAGTACATGAAAAAGTTGCTCAATATCATTTAGCAGGGAAATGCACATTAAAACTTCAACATCATTTATCAGGGCAATGCAAATTAAAACCCTACCCGTTAGAGGACTAGTACTGAACTGCCGAACAGTATCAAGGGTAGGCAAGGACGCAGACAAATGGAACTCCTATCCGTGACTGGTGAAAATATAAAACAGGACAACCACTTAGAAAAAAGTTTGACAATTTCTTATAAAGCTGAACCTATAATTGCCATACAATCCAGCAATTCTACTTCTAGGTATTCACCCAAGAAAAAGGAAAACAAATATTCACAGTCTTGCACAGGATTGTTCACAGCAACTTTATTATAGCCAAAATTTGGAAACCCAAATGTCCAACAAGAGATGAACAAATCATGATATAGTCGTAAAACAGAACACTACTCAGAAATAGGGATGAATTACTGGTACACCAAACACACGGACAAACCTCAAAAAGCTAGTGATGAAGTGAGACGCTAAGGAATAACACTCTATGACTCCACTTATGTGAAATTCAAAAAAAAAGAAAAGAAAAGAAAAGAATCAAATTCTAGGTACAGAAAGCAAATCGGTGCTTGCCTGACACTGGGGGTGAGGTGAAAACTGACTAAGACAGATTACACAGAACTTTCTGGAGTGACAGAATGTTCTATATCCACTGAGGTACTAGATATGTGGGTGTATACATTTGTCAAAATACTTCAAAATGTACACTTAAGAAATGAGTGTATTTTACCATACATAAATTATACCTTCATAAAGTTGTGTGGTTTTTTTTGTTTTGTTTTTTGTTTTTATGGAGAGGAAGGGAACTTCTAAGATGTTAAAAGCGGTAAAAATAAGATTATTTTTTCTACTTTTCCATATTTTAAAAAAGTTCTCTCTCCCTGACCACCCAAAACAATTTTAAACTACATACAGTAGTAAAATATTAATGATCAAATCATTTCACTCTTCAAAAAAATATATTTAGCTTTTCCCCAGATTATGGGCTTAATGTACTCCACTGCTTCCTAATACAATTTTTTTTATATTTCCTTATATGTATCTCAATAGCTTTTCAAAAATCCTCAAAAAACTTTCACCTAAATTATCTAATTTAATCCACACGACAATCCCATGACATGGACAGGTCACATTTATTCTCATTTTGTAAACTTAATCTCTGCAAAATATCATTTAAACGCATCACTGAATTTCATCAATTTATACAGCATATTACTGGGGTCCTAGTATTTGACTTTGGGGGATTTTTAAATCAATACATGCTACTTAAAACATGATTAAAGGCAAACAAAACAGAAAATACATTTGCAATGTATATGTCAAAGGTGTAACACATTTATATACAAAAATCCATCTTAAATCAGGAAGACAAAAAATCTCAAGAAATCTCAAGAAAAATCTCAAGAAAAAAGTGGGTAAAGATTATTAACTGCATGCTAAGAGAAAAAAAGGAAAAAATGTTCAAACCCACTACTAAAAAAACTAGAACAAGGTAACCATTTTCGTCACCAAGTCAGATTAAAAATAACAATGCTCAAATGGTATTTATTGTTTTAACTAAAATAAGTTTCTCAAACTCTAACCAACCAAAACCCTCCAACAATTGCATAGATATCTAATTAGTATTTGGTTTACATACCTGACAACATACTAAGAAAATGAAGAGAGTTATAGCAGTCCATAGTACCTTCTCTCTAAACTGGATCTGTACAACAAAATGAGGATGAGCCATCAAAACCAGGAAACCGCAATCACAGGGCAAAATTCCACATTAAAGCATAACATTCCGCATCGTGACATGCTCCTATTAGTTGCTATTACAATACTCTCACCTAGTTAGTAGCAGCCAAAGCAAACAGCTCAACTTTTCGAACATAACTTTCTTTCCTTTTCCAAGAGTTAAGTAAGTTGCATACAGGCCCCATCACACCGCACGACGTTAAGGAAACCAAAAAGGACCACATGCAAGACACAGACCCAATACGCATGCACTTCAGTTAACAGCATTGTGCAAAGCTGGGGTGCCCGTGATAATATGCTACGAATATTTCATGGAATATGAAAAGCTAGAGCTTCTTGGGACGCCTAACATGGACCTGGAACAACTATTTTTAAAACCTCAAAG